CATGATTGCTTTTGTTATAACAATGTATATTAAAAATAAGAAATAAAAGAGAGAGAAGATGATTAAATGAAATACCTCGTAGAAAGCTTTGTTAGATCTTTAGATATGAAAAATCTAGGTGCTTTGTGGCAATCTTTCACACTACAATTGCCTCACAATACTCAAGAAATACAATAGGAGAGAGAGAGAAATTTTGAGCTCTAAAGTGGATGGTTTTGAAGATAGATTTAGAAAAGGCTTACAATCACTTAAGTTTGAGTTTTATATTTATTCAAAACTCATTAATAAAAATTTAATATATTTATAAATTAAGAATTTCAACCATTTTGTTTTATTCATTCTAATTCTATATCCTATTTGAGTTCTTTTTTTTTTGTTCGTCCCTGGAGTATCTATCGCCGATAGCAGTGACTAATCTCCTCGCTACATTGGAGGCACCTCAAAGGGTGGGATAGCTGGCCCCAAGATTTGAATTCATATTTATAAGATCCAATTTTAAATATTTATTTTTTATAGAAGATTTAATTCATATTATTTTATATATTAATTGTTTTTAGCTTAAAATATATCTAGTTAAAGTGTTGTAGACACCCAATTTCGTCCGGAAGGCATAGAAACAAAGAAATGGACGTCTATTATCAAGGAAAGGAACACCTAAAGCATGGAAATAACAGGACATGACATCAGAATGCTAAAAGCCTAAATAAGCTAGTTTTAGTAGCCTGGAACGGGCTGTTCCAAAACTGGAACGGGCCGTTCCAATTTAGTGACCTATGATTTAGACATCCTTTTAAAAATCTCATCAATTAAGGAATGCCCGGACACCAGACTAATCTTTAATTAATGGTTTGAAAATAAGTTCTTGGAGTCGCCACCAATGTTTTACTCAAAACATTGAAAAAAGAAAAAGGTTTTTAAAAATTCAATAATGGCCTTGATAACCAGAATTGGGTTCGGGGGTCGATTACGTGTAGAGAAGGTATTACGCACCCCTACAACGCTCTCAATCGGTACCCTATGATGAAATTAATGAGATAAGAAATAATAAATTAAATATTAGATCCCCTTTATAAATTACTATTTACATGCTTGAAATTTAAATTACCCGGTTGACCCTAAAATGTCTACATGATTGCTTTTGTTATAACAATGTATATTAAAAATAAGAAATAAAAGAGAGAGAAGATGATTAAATGAAATACCTCGTAGAAAGCTTTGTTAGATCTTTAGATATGAAAAATCTAGGTGCTTTGTGGCAATCTTTCACACTACAATTGCCTCACAATACTCAAGAAATACAATAGGAGAGAGAGAGAAATTTTGAGCTCTAAAGAGTCCTGAACGAAATTTTTTGGGGCCTGAGAACTGTGCCCGAGCTGTCTATTCATAAGCATCAAAAGGGTGCCAGAACGACCCGTTCTAGATCTGACCATTATGTGTTAATTTCGTATATTAGAACGACCCGTTCTGAAATCAGAGCGGACCGTTCCAGAGGTGCGTTTAACACATAATTGCTATGCTGGAACGGCCCGTTCCAAATGTAGGTTTTAACCTTTTTTTAAGAGCTTGGAACGACCCATTGCAATTTTGAAAAAGCCCGTTCCAAACTAGGATTTTAGGCCCTTTTTGTAAATTGGAATGGCCCGTTCCAAAATAGGATTTTAGGCCCTTTTTGTAAATTGGAACGGCCCGTTCCAGTTTTGGAACAGCCCGTTCCAGGCTACTAAAACTAGCTTATTTAGGCTTTTAGCATTCTGATGTCATGTCCTGTTATTTCCATGCTTTAGGTGTTCCTTTCCTTGATAATAGACGTCCATTTCTTTGTTTCTATGCCTTCCGGACGAAATTGGGTGTCTACAACACTTTAACTAGATATATTTTAAGCTAAAAACAATTAATATATAAAATAATATGAATTAAATCTTCTATAAAAAATAAATATTTAAAATTGGATCTTATAAATATGAATTCAAATCTTGGGGCCAGCTATCCCACCCTTTGAGGTGCCTCCAATGTAGCGAGGAGATTAGTCACTGCTATCGGCGATAGATACTCCAGGGACGAACAAAAAAAAAAGAACTCAAATAGGATATAGAATTAGAATGAATAAAACAAAATGGTTGAAATTCTTAATTTATAAATATATTAAATTTTTATTAATGAGTTTTGAATAAATATAAAACTCAAACTTAAGTGATTGTAAGCCTTTTCTAAATCTATCTTTGGATGGTTTTGAAGATAGATTTAGAAAAGGCTTACAATCACTTAAGTTTGAGTTTTATATTTATTCAAAACTCATTAATAAAAATTTAATATATTTATAAATTAAGAATTTCAACCATTTTGTTTTATTCATTCTAATTCTATATCCTATTTGAGTTCTTTTTTTTTTGTTCGTCCCTGGAGTATCTATCGCCGATAGCAGTGACTAATCTCCTCGCTACATTGGAGGCACCTCAAAGGGTGGGATAGCTGGCCCCAAGATTTGAATTCATATTTATAAGATCCAATTTTAAATATTTATTTTTTATAGAAGATTTAATTCATATTATTTTATATATTAATTGTTTTTAGCTTAAAATATATCTAGTTAAAGTGTTGTAGACACCCAATTTCGTCCGGAAGGCATAGAAACAAAGAAATGGACGTCTATTATCAAGGAAAGGAACACCTAAAGCATGGAAATAACAGGACATGACATCAGAATGCTAAAAGCCTAAATAAGCTAGTTTTAGTAGCCTGGAACGGGCTGTTCCAAAACTGGAACGGGCCGTTCCAATTTACAAAAAGGGCCTAAAATCCTATTTTGGAACGGGCCATTCCAATTTACAAAAAGGGCCTAAAATCCTAGTTACAATGAATATAATAGGTGTAATTATTAACTAGTATTTACTTTTGCAATGCATATGTTAGATGTTTATTATATCTATAAAAATTTTAAGAAATGACTTATATGTTATGTTAAGGTTTTGAATACGTCTTCTAAGGAAGAAGACATGCTCGTATGTAATACTAAGAAAATGAAGACAAGAGAGCATGAGAGAGTGAAGGATGTAGAGGTGGAAGACAACAATGACTCTTCCTAGCTTGATGACAAGTTTTTGAGTCCATCATATAGAGATAAACTCCTAAAAGATGGGGATGGAAAGATGGAGAATTATTAATGTTATATTAGAAATTTTATTATGCTATAAAAATAAGTCTGATCACGAATCACATTCAACATATTCAAAGGAATTGGACCCATGTCCTAAGATCCATGTGAGTAAGGACGAGTTTGAAGATTGGTGCGAACCTTGGAAGAATGCCTTCATTGTTAACGTACTTGGGAAACAAGTAAGTTTTAAGATGATGGAGAATAAGATCATAAGAGACTTGGTAGTGAAAGGTTCCTTCAGGATTATTGACATGCTGCAAGATTATTACCTAGTGCAACTAATTGATGCTGAGGATTATTGACACACTTTGCTTAAGGGGCCTTGTCATCTAGCTAACCATTATATGATAGTTTAATGTTGGAGACCCTCCTTTACTACTTCGGAGAAGGAGATTTGTAAAATTGTAGTTTGGATACACATTCCAAGCTTACTGATAGAACTTTGTAAAGATTTTTTCCTTTAGAGGGTAAGTGCAAGATTGGGTTCGATGCTAAAAATAGACAAGTTGACCTATATTCATTCTCGAGGTAGATATGCTCATATTTTTGGTGAGATTAACTTAAGCAAGAAATTAGTCTCATAGATTAACGTGTTAGGTATCAGTTAGGACTCATTTTGAATTTGGAGTGTGAAGGATTACATTCCATATGCTTTAATTATGGAAGATATTGGCACAAGTAGACCTAGTGCATGGAAGAGGCTGCCAATGTGGATAATATTGTCTAAAAGGGTCAAGGGGAAGATCAAGAAGTGATAGAGTCTTGTGTGAATCATTTTTTTATGGAAGTCCAAGAAGCGCGGCCAAAAGTAGGCCATAAGGAGGATTCGGCACACAAAAAATTTGGTTTTGCCTAACAAAGTCCCACCTATAGGTCATGGATGCTTGCTAAAATCAGGAAATGAAGGAATATTAAGGTCAAGATAAATAATAATAAGTAAGAAATCATCCTTCAAAATTATATGGTTATAAGTAATATAAAGGAAGTGGGTTTTAGTGGATCCCACTTTGCACTCGTAGAGAAGGTGGAAGAAAACCTTATAAGTAGGCTGGATTTTTTAGGAAAAAAAGGGGAAGAGGTTGCAAATCCAAAGGCAACCATGAAAATTGTCAAGATTTAGAACCTAATAGGAGGCAAAAACCCCCTAGGACTTAAGACCCAAAAAGTAGTAAGAAGAATACAAAAGTGAGTATTTTCTCAAATTCTATAGGTCATACCAAGACTCGAATCACGAAATCCCAAAGGGATCCATTGGACAAGGATAAAAATGGGATGTCAAAGGGCTCTATGCATAATCATCTTGAGGATTGATGTGTCATGCAAAAGTTGCATGAGAAGACATTAGCTTCGAAAATGACTAGTGATTTATGTGCACATATTGTACTACCCAATTAAGAAACCAAGGAATTTGCAAAGAAGACAAAGAAGTTCTTCAAAAAGATTGCTACAAATATTCCAACCGTGGTTGAGAATTCTAGAAATATTGTTGAGCCTAGCATGATGACTATTATTTATGAGTAAACATAAATGAATATGGCATTAGTGCCTAAACTTTCCTATAATTTCCAATGAAAGTTATCTCTTGGAATTATCGGGGTGTAAGTTGTAAAGGTTTTACTACGATGGAAAAGGATATGATCCAAGAGTGCAAAGTTGGTATCCTTGGGTTACTAGAGATTCATATAAGTGGGGAAAAACAGTGTGTGTTGTTAACAGAATTTGACTTGATTCCTATTTTATCGAAGATGCTTCTAGTTGTGTAGGGGGTATTTGGATTCTTTGAAACCATTTCAATTGGCAAGTGGAGATTATGGATAAATCCTCTCAATATGTTCATTGTTAGGTACAATATAAGAGGTTTGATCCTTGGTTCATGACTTTTGTATATGTGAATCTACACCCTCTAAACCATGTGGATCTATGGCGTGACCTCAGAAAAATTGCAGATAGAACGAAGGACCCTTGGTCCATCTTGCGAGACTTTAAAGCAGAATTAAATGACCATGAAATAATTGGTGATTCACTAAAAGCTAATGCTTGTGGAGATCATGCGTTCAAAGACTACATTAAAGATATTCACTTGTTAGATATTGGTTTATGAGGGAACCCTTTTACCTGACAAAGATGAGGGATCTCAAAAAGATTTGATATGGTCCTAGCTAACTAGAATTGAAGGCTTTAATTCCCTAAAACATAAATCGTCCATCTTCACTTGCTTAAGTCTGACCACTCCCCATTACTCATGTGAATGTAAAATGAAAAATGTGTTACTATAAAGAGGCATCCTTTTCGGCTTGAGTTTTCATAGTTGACACATTAGGATCTCTCGGATATGAGAATTAGAGAATGGGGAAAAGGTGATGATTGGAACAATAGGGTCAACCATCTCCACGTGTCTCTTAAAATGTGGAATAAAAGAACCTTTGGCAACGTATTTTATGGAAAAAGAAAGATCCTAAAGAGACTTCAGGGAATAAAGAAGAAAGTGTCCCTGGGGGATAATCATATTTTACGACTTCTAAAGGAGCTATGGTATAAATGAGTTAAACATTACAAGGGAGGAACACATCTAATTCCAAAAATCATGTTGTAAATGGTTAAGATTTGGTGACAGAAACACTCGTTATTTTAATGGAACTATATTCATAGGAAGGAGAAGAAATCTATTTAATCGACTACATAATGGTCAAGGTGAATGGGTTTGCAAAGAAAAAGAGTTTGAGGCTATGGTAACATGCTACTTTAAAAAAAATCATAAAGCAAGATGTATATGAAGAGTTTAGACTCACAAATTGCTTCTTAGAACTAAGTGATCAAGTTAAAGAATATATTTCAAAAACATATATCTAAGGGGGAAATCCATAACATGGTTAAACGTATGAACAGGTTTAAAGCTCCTAGGCTTGACGATCTTCGAGCTTTATCTTATCACAATAGGATATTGTGGGCTCATCTCTTTACCAACTCATCAAAGATATTAAGCGTAATCACCAAAAGATAGCTAATGTTAATAACACCTTCATCACCCTTATTCCGAAATAGGATAATGTAATTAGGCTGAAACAATTTCACCTACAAGCCTTTGCAATTTATCTTACAAGGTGATCATGAAAGTTTTAGCTCTAAGATTACGTAATATTATGGATGGACTCATAGGGTCGAACCAGTGTAGCTTTGTACCAAGCTACCACAACAAATATAACATAATGATTAAACAAGAAGTCATTCATTCCATGTGCAACAAGAGTGGAAAAAAATGGATGGTTTTGAAGATAGATTTAGAAAAGGCTTACAATCACTTAAGTTTGAGTTTTATATTTATTCAAAACTCATTAATAAAAATTTAATATATTTATAAATTAAGAATTTCAACCATTTTGTTTTATTCATTCTAATTCTATATCCTATTTGAGTTCTTTTTTTTTTGTTCGTCCCTGGAGTATCTATCGCCGATAGCAGTGACTAATCTCCTCGCTACATTGGAGGCACCTCAAAGGGTGGGATAGCTGGCCCCAAGATTTGAATTCATATTTATAAGATCCAATTTTAAATATTTATTTTTTATAGAAGATTTAATTCATATTATTTTATATATTAATTGTTTTTAGCTTAAAATATATCTAGTTAAAGTGTTGTAGACACCCAATTTCGTCCGGAAGGCATAGAAACAAAGAAATGGACGTCTATTATCAAGGAAAGGAACACCTAAAGCATGGAAATAACAGGACATGACATCAGAATGCTAAAAGCCTAAATAAGCTAGTTTTAGTAGCCTGGAACGGGCTGTTCCAAAACTGGAACGGGCCGTTCCAATTTACAAAAAGGGCCTAAAATCCTATTTTGGAACGGGCCATTCCAATTTACAAAAAGGGCCTAAAATCCTAGTTTGGAACGGGCTTTTTCAAAATTGCAATGGGTCGTTCCAAGCTCTTAAAAAAAGGTTAAAACCTACATTTGGAACGGGCCGTTCCAGCATAGCAATTATGTGTTAAACGCACCTCTGGAACGGTCCGCTCTGATTTCAGAACGGGTCGTTCTAATATACGAAATTAACACATAATGGTCAGATCTAGAACGGGTCGTTCTGGCACCCTTTTGATGCTTATGAATAGACAGCTCGGGCACAGTTCTCAGGCCCCAAAAAATTTCGTTCAGGACTCTTTAGAGCTCAAAATTTCTCTCTCTCTCCTATTGTATTTCTTGAGTATTGTGAGGCAATTGTAGTGTGAAAGATTGCCACAAAGCACCTAGATTTTTCATATCTAAAGATCTAACAAAGCTTTCTACGAGGTATTTCATTTAATCATCTTCTCTCTCTTTTATTTCTTATTTTTAATATACATTGTTATAACAAAAGCAATCATGTAGACATTTTAGGGTCAACCGGGTAATTTAAATTTCAAGCATGTAAATAGTAATTTATAAAGGGGATCTAATATTTAATTTATTATTTCTTATCTCATTAATTTCATCATAGGGTACCGATTGAGAGCGTTGTAGGGGTGCGTAATACCTTCTCTACACGTAATCGACCCCCGAACCCAAT